CAGCACAGATGCATTGATAAGGCCTGAACAGGGTCTTTGCTGTTGAACACTTTGAGGACATTGACAATGCAGTGAAATTTTGCGCCATGTGGCGTACATGTGCAGTGGCCGGCTGGAGATTGTGGTGCACATTTACTTCCTCGCCTACACCATCTCTAATACAGTTTAGCCGTGGGCATACCAGTGCTTTGCATCGCTTTTTTTTTGTATTTTGGTGGTCTTTTTTTCTATTTCAGAACCTTACTGAAATAAAAAATCCACTAAGTTTGCATATCCCTGTGTGTTTATGATTTTTACAACTTTGCTCCAAACCCAAAAATAAGTAGCAACGCGCACCAGGCTAGCCGATGCGATCATGAGTTTTGTGCAATTCAGCCCATCGAACGATTGCCTATTAATGGCTTTCACTGCTTTGTAATGTAGCCTATGCAAAAATAGTTCAAACATTGGAAAATAATTAAAAATTTCACGCACCAGCACATGAAATCTGAATTCGAAACCTTGAAGGTGAATATCTTTCCGAGTTAATAGTTTACCCGCCAAAATTTTCACGAGACCGTAGGTGACACTCAAGAGCGTAGGAACGCTGAAGTTGAATGGGCACGGTTGAGCGTGGGCAGGGGGTCATTACCTTAAAATTTCAGCTTCCTTCACTCCCTGGTTGCCGAGATAATAATTTGCCCGTAAAAACTTTCGCTAGCCCGTAGGTGATACCCGAGAGCGCAGGAACGCTCAATTTGAATGGACAAGGTTGAGCGTGGGAAGGGGGTTATTACTGTGAAGTTTCAGCCTTTTAGACTCCGTGGTTTCCGAGAAATTAATTTCCCCGTGAAAAACTTTCACTGGGCCGTACGTGTTAACGGGAAGGCTGAATTTGAATGGGCAAGGTTGGGCGTGGGCAGGGTATTATTACCCTAAAATTTCAGCCTCCTAGACTCCGTGGTTCCCGGAATATTGATTTACCCGTAAAAAACTTTCACGGGGCAGTACGTGTTACCCGCGGGTAGGGGAAGGTTGAATTTAAATTTGCCGCGTCACCTGCTGGCGGGGAGCACTACACCAAAATTTCAGCCGTCCAGCTTTTGTGGTTCCCGAGTTGGAAGTGCGGAACAAAATGTGGGGG